AATAGGTCAAAGAAAATATCTCATACAACAATTAATAATTTTATCGGAAAGTTGAAGACAAAGAAAAATAAACAAAAAACAAAAAAAAACTCACCGAGATCTTGATCCTCCATATTTTAAATACAATTGTTTGAAATAAAATTGTTTTATTAAACAGTACGAATTAATGTTCTAACAATGTGGACTTAAGGGAATCAAAATAAATTACGGGTTAGGATATAAAAAAATCAAAATAAAATACAAAGATGTCATTCGAATTTGTTCTATTTTTAACCCCAAACACATATTTTTTTTCTATAAGACAATTTTTAAATATAACAGAATTATAAATATAAATAACTTTACCATCATATTTCTTATGCTTTTCGTAGAGTAGTATATATAGAAACATACATTAATTATAAAAAAGATATAACTAAGGCCATAGGAGTGTCCCTTGTAGTAGACTAGTACAAGAGAAGTGGTTTCTCCAGTTCGAGTTTAAATGCAGCCCAAGCGTCCCTTTAAGTGATGTTCATGTCATTAGTTTAATGGCGGATCTGAACCTCCGCCTGTGCACTAACCGTAGAACCAAATTACTCTTCACTGTGACAAAATATCTGAATAACTATTTACAGTAGCAGTGACGTAAATAGATAAGGTATTGTTGAAAAACTATCCTACCTATTATACTTTGGGCCGAGGAAAGTTTTATTAATGCTCAAAGATAACCTCAACCAAATTATTCTGATGTTGTTTTTATATAAAACGAAGCAAATTTAAAGCTTAATATAATAAAAACACACACGTCACGAACTTTTGCAGCTTAATATATAAGTGCAGTCTTTGTCTGATCTGTCTGTCCTAATTTACCAATATTAAATCAAAATTAATCTTAATGTACAATAACTTTAGACCGTATAGTTGCAAGCTGGTGTGGGAACGTCATTATTTTTCAAGTAAACAAATTTAAGAGTCTATATTGCGATTTGTCTCTAGTAATTTAACAAAGCCGTCGTTTTATATTTTGCTTGATTTTTATTAAATATAAAAATAATCGACAGTATGGATAGCATTAATACGGAGAATGAAGCCGAAGCCCGCGTTCAACTTGAAATTAATTGCTCATGTTATCAAACCGGTTCAGTTGACATTTTAATTACAATGGCTCGGGGGTTTTAATGAACTGTCTCCGGAACCAACGGTTTACCATCCGAGCGCCCGCCATCGCTTACCGCGTGTGACGTTTCATAGGGAACTAATACACGACATCTTTGTTCTTATGGTCAATAAAAAATAATGTAAACTAGTCCGGTCTGACAATAGTTATTGTTTGCTATAAATCGAAATTCGTTACTAGATACAAATGTCCACAGGACATTAGCTTAGTCATTATTACTATGTTTACAGGGGAATCATTGGAATTCATTTCCAACGAACCTCTTCTACCTCTCTACCTAACCTCTTCAAGCAATGTTACTGAACTATTGTTGTAATGTTTTCACCAACTCGATTTTATTGAATTAATTGTGAAACCTTAAATTGCCATGGTAGTAATTTAAATGTTTTATATCGCTAATCTCTGCACTTAAGATTGAACATTAAAAATTGTAGAAAAAGTACGAAAAGACTGTCGCCGCTGTGGGAATCGAACCCGACACACCGTCGAATGGCAATCAGCCGTTTAGCTCAGTGGCTAGAGCGTCAGGCCGCGAATGCCGACGACTTGGGTTCGATTCCCACAGGGGCGACAGTCTTTTCGTACTTTTTCTACAAATTTTAATTGCCATGGTAGTGTTAAAAAAATTGTATGACCCAAAGTAGTTGTTGCGAGTTTGACTGTACTTTGTGTCCCTAATTTTTATGAGATCCCTTTACGACGCAGTTAGTACTTCCAAGAGTTAAAATGATGAATATTTAATGCCTCTTCCTCATCTTCATTATTAGTTTTCATCAATTTCTGATAATTTTCCACGTGCGTCGTATTTTAGAGCGTAAGAAAAATGCGATCGTACTCTGCGATAGCAGTCAGTTGTGCTCGAGGCAATGACAGTAAAATTATATTGGGCCATAAACTAGCTGTATTGAAAACATTTGTGGCTTTACGACGGTTACTGACGGATCCGAGCGTGATGTCTCTCTCGACCTTTCTGGGCTGCATGTATTTACGTACAGTATGACTATAGCTAAGCGATGAACCCTTTGTGTAATATGTTCCAACCTATGTGTTCTAACGCCACTTAAAATATCATCCCACGGTTAAATCCCATCATACCATCTCGATCGACCCTAACAAATCTGTTGCATATACACCACAGATCCCAATATCGGAGAAGTAAGAATTCCGTCGTCTCCTACGCATTCACACACCCTTATAATATTGACGGTGACGTCAGAAATTGTTAAGTCGTGACGTACGGACACAAATAATCTTCTAACTCATCATATTTATACATGGAATATTCTAATAGCAAAGGCATAAAAAAATCCTTTCAAAACCCATCACGCATCTTTCGAATATCACCCAGCACACAATTTGACTTTTTCCAGATATATTTTATTACAGCGTCAAAATGTGTTGTTTTTTATGTCAAACCTCTCTTATATATATTATCTCTATTTATCTCTCTCTTATATATCTTATGTCTCTTTATATAATATATTCAGGTTTTTCATTGAATTTGATTCATAATGATTTATTTGTAAAATAGGTGGCAGGCATACAGGTGTAATGTCATGGTGAAGTTCAACACAGTTTTTACTTTATGAATTTTACAAATACTTTATGCACTCACTTAATTACTGGTTCAAACTTAACATTAAGAATAACAAATCAACACAAATAAAGCTATAGAAACTAAAACCAAGGACATAAAATTATAATATGATATATCATATAAATCGATAAATATTATCTGAATGTACTTTCATTAAGAAACTTACGCCCGGTTTCTGGAGCACTGGTCATCGTAGATAATAGTCAACTAATCAGCTGTCAAATGGCTTTTCACATTTCATTTTAGTTGCCAAAAAGATGGTTAAACTCTCTGAATTGACAGCTGATTAGTTGACATCTACGGTGATCAGTGTTTCAGAAACCGGGCGTCAGTCAAATAATAATAACAACATTTAATAGCAAGTAACAACTGCAATATCTTTTTGGACTGTAAAATGCCTCCGTTAAGCATATATTACGATATTTAATACAGATCTTGATTTAACTTATTATTACTTATAATTGGATATATATTTTGTTGTACTGTTAGTCTATAAACAATTATTGCTTCAGTCAAGAGATTTTTCAGCCGTGTATTCTACGCTTATCAGGCCTTTTTCACAGCCTTATGCATCCGGGTCTAATTTAATCTTCACCCGACGTTACCATCTGAACTTTATTTTTTATATGAAAAGTTAGCAAACGAGCAGGCGGTTCACCTGATGCTAAGCTAATAATGTCGCCGGTAGACATTTACAACCTCACGTGGGGTCACAGTTGCTTTGCTAATCTAACAAAAAACCGGCCAAGTGCGAGTCGGACACGCGCATGAATGATTCCGTACCATTATCTATAAAAACGACGAAAACATCATGTCTGCTGTATAGTAAATACACTTAAATATTGTTTTATTCTGTTTTTTTATTATTTATTGTTATAGCGGCAACAGAAATACATCATAATTATGTGAAAATTTCAACTGTTTAACTATCGCGTTTCATGAGATACAGCCCGGTGATAGACGGACAGTCAGACAGCGGAGTCGGTACGGAACCCTAAAAACTAGCAAGAGAAGTAATGTCAAACAAAAATCGGAACACAAATCTTTTCAATATTTTATATCTCGCGAAATATCATCCCCAGCAGCAGAAAAAGTGAAAAAGTGGAGATATTTAATTTTCATTTTTAAAACATCGGAAAATTATTTGATCGCCTCTCGCAATACACCATTACGGTTCATTTGACGGAGCTTCGTTTAAGCGCGCTATTTTTTTTAATTAGCACTGCGAGAATTATTGTTGGATGTTGGTTTTTAAAATTTCCCTACATTCTACTACGTTTTTAATCTACATATTCGTGTTTTGGTTTGCAATTATTAATAGATTTTATGTAAAAGAAGACCACATATTTCTTCCACGAGTATATATTACAGATCACGAAGGTTTATTACTAATTTTTACATGTAAAAAGTTGAAATTATATTTGTCACCTTGTTAGTCGATAGATATCCAGATTATTTTCTACCTAAATTCATTTCATAAACGAGCATAATATTTTTTTTTTTTGATTCCGTCAGAGGCTTGTTTATTTCATAAAAGAACAACTGCTCTGTTCTGCCTTCTCGTTTCAATACAATGGACGAACGGCTTTTCCCTCGTTGAGCCTCGCTAAAATCCTCCAGATCGCGGTTAAGGAGGGAAAACTCTATCGGTGACGTCAGGGGGCGCAATTCTACGGGCTCCGCTACGGTCTACGGTGTAGCGTAGTGTCTACGGGCGGTCGACGCGGACCGAACGCTACGCCGCTATCAGTGCTCGCGTAGACTTCGACTCGTTACGGAGCACGCGATTGTTGCGCGCTTTGCGGTTAACCTTTCAAGTTATAAAAAAAATATTACAAACTAAGTTGTTTATAATTTTTATGGTTATTAAGTGAATAAGGTATTACATTGTTATTTCTTTCAAGGATATTACGAGTTCTTATTTTGAATATTACATTCCTAGTATTTCTTTGTCTAAGTGTACGTGTTGTCTACCATATAAATTTTTGTGTGAGATGTTTCCCAATAATTTATACCATCAACACTTAATAATATGATTGCCGTCGCTAAAGTTCTGTAACGAAAATAATTATTGTATAGTTTAATATAACTGGACATAGTTATTACAAGAAGCTTTAAGTCATATTATTAATGTCACACATGCCAGATTATTAACGACTATTGAATGACACTGTTTCAAATCTTGTGAAGAGCATTCCAAACCGATGCCTCTTTGATATTTATGAATACTCGTAAGATGTGACGATGGGTGAGGGAACGAATCCAGGCGTCTTCTTCGTGGGTGCCAATGGCAACGGCTACCGTCTGTCCGCACGCGGTGTCCAGACCCTGCAGAGCTTCCTGCGGGAACATGGTGCAGAGTGCGTCCGTCAGTTTATGCAGGTGCAGTATCCTCGATGTTTCGCTTCTGTCGTTTGGTGCGGACGTAAAGTGGGCGCCTTCTAGGCACGATGTAATATGCAGGACGTGTACTGATCGGTACCGAGTTTGATAGACATACTTGATCACTCAGGGAAACAGCGAATTGCTATTGTGCGTTACCATCTACGATCTCGACAGGCTCCCTTTCAAGCGGGATGGTAGTCAAACAGTAGCCACTTCTCGTTTATGTTGCAATTGAGCAGATAACGACCCTCCACAAGATGAAGTGACCGACTTGTGCAAATGTGCGGGAAGTCGATGGCTCAGGATAGTGCTTCGCGACAGTCAGTAGGGGAAGCTTATCAACGCTGGACTTGCATGGGCTGAAACGATGATGAAACAAATTACAATAGTATTTTTTCCTTTGTATGTGTTCGCTTTCAATCATAGTTTTCTTGGTACAGATTCTCTGGAATTGACCTACCGCTTTTTGGCGCAGAATTAATGAAGGGATTTCCTCAAACATTTTCTTGGCATCGACTTAATCGAGGAGATCTGTTGTACATGGATTGTTTTAATTTAAGTTAGTCTGTGTTATCCATGACACACAGATCTATTAACATTCTTTATAACTAGGATCAATGATGAGTGAGTTTTTTAAGATCTTTTTTCAAATATATACGTAAATATAATGGTAAATATACAAATACGCAACAACTTAATCAAATTTGGGGAGCTCTTAAGACAAGTTTATCAATTTAATGAACAATATGAAAGCGTGAAACTGTGTTGCCGATTTAAACGCTCTATAACTAAGATGTTGCCCATTTGTGGGCAACTAATGCTAATATGATTGAAGTAGGGACACGCAACGGTGTTCACTGTTGCAGGAATGGGCAGGCAAAGTACAAGTGTTAGACTTCTGCGTTTCGTCTGGTGAGTGAGGTATCCGGAGCCCACATTATGTAAAGGTGGGCAACGCATTTGCAACCCTATGGATGTTGCAAAAGTCCATGGGCGGCGGTTATCACTTAACATCAGGTGAACGGCCAGCTTGTTTGCTACTTTCTAACATAAAAAGCAATAAATAATAATCGACTAGTCTTTCAAGTAAAAGCTCTCATTGCATCTACAGGAGTATCAAGTATAAAATATAAGTATTGAGAAGGAAATTTAATTAACATGAGCAAGGCAATATAATAGTGTTAGTTTCAATAAAGATATTTGTAACTCTTAGTGATTTCGTACAAGGCTAGTAAATAGTATACTTTATATATTAATACATACAGTACCATACTTCTGTTTACAGGCGTTTTAGTAAGGTTTCCTTATGAGCCGAGAAATTTGGAACAGGTATCATGTAGAATTTTTAAATTTTCTTTAATGTAAATATATGAATAAGCTATCAACTCCATTTTCGGGATATGTGGGTTTTGTTTCATGAAAACTAGTTGGAATGAGTACAAATTTTACATGAACCGAAAAACGCGAACTGTAATTAAAAAGGGAAACAGAAAACTGTCACGACAGAATATTTCTCACCGGTATTTACAAAGGCGTTAGTGCTGGTGTGAGAGAAACACTGTAATGCACTTCACAACCCGTAGCAAGACGCTACGCCCCGTAGCACACTGAGCACGCCGCTCGCATAGAAACAAACGGAGCGCGACCTTAACTAAGCGACGCTGGCTGCATATCCTTGGTAGCTACGAAGCCTCCACTGGCACGGATATCAGACAATGCAGCGGGGAAATGTGCGACGCGAATCTACGAGGTGCTACGCGACGTTTGTTTTTGTCGACGCCCGCATGCAGCGGCCCAATTTTTTAAAGGTCTTTAACACAACAGCAAGTCATCGCTTGTTGAGATGTCCATGGTTGTCGGTAGTCACTTAATAACAAGTGAACCGCCTGTTTGTTGGACAACTTTCATATAAAAAAAATACATAATATTTTATGTCGGTCTGTGATGTGATAGCTACGTTCAGGGGAGTACTCCTTTATCATATGCTCATTTAGAAAGATAAGGTCTCATTTCTTGACCTTCCTAAAGTCATGACTATATAATTTACTAGCTACTGCCGCGTCTACGTCTGCGTAGAATAGGCTGAAGGCGTAACATTTAGATAGAAACACATATATACTTAAAAACATGTTTATAAATTATAGCCTATGTCTTATTCTGATTATAAGCTATATATTATTGTAAAAATAAAATCCATTCAATAGTATTTGCGTGAAAGAGTAACAAACATCCATCCATACATACAAACTTTCGCCTTTATAAAATTAGTAAGCATTATCTTTCTATCAAGAACAAACCGAAATGTTGGGAACTGTCAACAAATAAGTTTAAAAACAGTTACACCATCGCAGTTTCATCTCATAGTTTTTATTACCCTATTTCATTATAACTTCGTCTAAAGCCTCAAACATTACAAGTTATAACGGATAACTTTCCTAATTAAAATGCCGCAGTGAATCGCTTTACAAATTGTCTTCTATGTGTTTTAACGTAACAAGAAATCAATAGATGAACGATATACAGTTGAATATTTGTACACTAATTGATAAACAAGAATTACCCTACAAATTTGAAAAGTCCTATAAATAAATACTACGTGTATGCATATAAGAATGTCGGTTTTTACTTAAAATTAAAATTCAAATACTGCATATACATATCGGGTGTTGGGTAAAGACTCGTATTACGATTTATTTATTCTTTCCTAAATGTGCCGGTTTACTTTTGTTCCTCTTCACCGCTAGATTAATCGTACCTATTAAACATTTCTATAACTTATTCTTTTAAGTATAAGGCAGTCCTCGTGGAGTTATGCCGGATATTGATTTAAATCTCTGCACAGACACGTCTTATGATTTTATGGCATGTTCGCGGTTTGTGGAATCGATTTTTTTTTTAAATTGACCCTTGAAAAAGATCTCTTCCTTTGTAAGGATTTTCTTTCTATCAAGATAGATAACGCCCCTGTTTGACTGCCACCGAACCTTATGTTCAATGCCTAAGTGACGCACTAATGAGCATATTCCAGCTTGCTTTTAGGGAGAGAGCACCTTGGCGTTTAGTTATCTTATAATAGAATAGGGAGGAATTATCCACAAATACATTGCACACGTACTTACCAGTCATTCACACTCGGTAGAGCTTTTGGGTCCAACAAATAAAGTAATTGAGCGAGAGTCGAATCAACGACCCAATTGCGCAAACCGAGCCGACGAGGAGACTCCGAGCGCGCGAGTGGAATTTACGCCGGGAGTTCGTCAAAGTCGCTCTTCGTTTGCGGAACTAAGCTTCCATCAAAGTTGAACTAAGTTTGTCCGCATTCGGATGCGAACGCGAGTGTATTCGCTTAAGCGCGTTTACTACGTCCACCGTTGAAATGGAACGGCAAATAGGGATTTAGTCTGCGTAAAGTAAAAGTAAAGTAACAGCCTACATACGTCTCACTGCTGGATAAACGCCTCCTCCGCACAGAGGGTATTATATAGTCCACCGGGCTACCCCACCGCTGATTGACGGAGTTCACGTCTTCGAATTATTATTTTTTTTGTTTTTATTTCGAAAATGTGCAAGTTTCCTTACTACGTTTTCTTTCACCGTTGAGCACGTGATAAGTCAGCACTTAAAATTACCAATTTAATTGGTGCCGACACACCGGGATTTGACGTCGGGCTGCTCGGATATATTGAATAAAAGCAAGCCGAATTATCTATCACGACTCTAAGTAGTCTGCGTAGGGAGCTAAGCTTCTAATGGCTTGTATCGGAGCATTAAGCTTAGCTTTGCTTATATGGCTTTGTGATGGGCTCTTATCTCGTCTCGTCGTATCGCAATATTTCATGGAAAAGCATTTAAAACGCACTTGAGTTTCGATATGATTTTAGAGGAATAGCCAGCCCTTTCATTTACTGAGATTAATTAGCTAGTGGTAAGATAAACGCTAACACATGTTACCCTAAATTATATCTTTTCGCAGGTCCTTCACTTCAAGTTAATTCAACATAAAATTTATTCGAATTACCGAAGAGTCTCCACATAAAATTAAATACATAAAATTGCTACGTTATTTGCCGGTTTTTTGTTTTTATTGCATTTTTAGTAATGTTTGGTGCCATCTAGTGTGCTTCCTTTACGACAAACGACCACTTTTTCAAAGGACACTTTACAATGTAACATTTGAAAACTATATATGTCATCTTCGCTGTTAAATTAATTTATTTTTCAAATAAATTCTGATGATTTCTGACGGAAATTACTCTTCAAAACTATAATGTAATTATGTCCTTTACCTTCTCAACCTCAGACCACCCTAGAAAACAGCAGTCGTAAAGTTTTAAATACTTCTAAAACGCTAGTTTATTTTTCATTACTTCTTAACGGTTTCTTTGAAACTCTCGTCGGGAATTCGTCAAGAATTGCAAAGTAACGAAGTTTTTGTTCCGTTACACGTTTCCCAAGACGTGCCCAAAACTCGTATAACATTTAATTTTCGAAGATTGCGTATGCTCCTGGTGCCTTTGTAAAAGAAAGTTTCCCACTTAACAATTTGGCCTCCGCGTCTCGTTGCTCTCGTCGAAAGTTCTTTTTTGGGACCCCCTTTATAGTTGCCTTGCGGTCCCTGTTGCGGGAGCATATTGATTTGTACCACGTACTTATTATGGCCCAAATGCATGATTTATCATCCGTCTATCCAACAAAAAAGGCAGATAAAAGGCAGGATACTCAACTGACACAATGTCAACAAATTGTTTTAAGCGATTTTACAGAGTATCAATGTTCTTAAGGTTGTTTATAACTAGGAATACAATTTGACCTTTTTAAATTGAATATAATGTAGTACAAAAAGTAGTATACGTATTATTTATGTATTATATGATTAATGTATAACTAACACATAATATACTCTACTAACGGTGGTAGGGCCACGCACCAACCTCGGCTGTTGCACGAATGGGCAGGCCCGTCCGGGTAAGTACCACGACCTCACAGAAGACCAGCGTAAAGTGGAAGTATGACAAATACTTTCGCGTTTCGTCTAGTGAGTGAGGTAGCCGGAGCCC